TTATATTGTATGAACGTGATATTATAGTATAAATGTGATATTATATTGTGGTGGTGTTATGCTGTTAGTGTTAGCATGATTGCTTGTACAATGGATAGTTTTCATGTTGTCAAGAGAAGRGTCACAGGGGAAAATCCACTGAAGGGCAAAATACATCCTGCTTATCGAAAATTATGGATAACTGATCAGATGCAGTAATGAAGGTGGAAGCCAGGTGGTGATATTTGTTCCATTAGACATGCTKCTTTCCATCTGGACAGAGGGTAAACAATGACAGYCATGGCAGGACGTAACCTACACTCATCTTTGTAGCAAACATGATCAAAGGTAAGATGACAAGTGATAATAACTGTGATTTTTGATCCAGGCATTTTAATTACGTGGTTTTAGTGGTACGGTTTTATGGATTGAGGATTAGTGATCAAGTTTTGTTTACTAAGATAAAGTGTGGCGGTGTTAACATAGTAATKCTAAAGCTATCTAAATACTGACAACATAACGTAAGACAATTTTTTATTTAAGTGTTTAGTTTTGTTATTGTTGCTACAGTTTTACATTCAGCACTAACAAAGCAGACAAAGTTCACATCTATCTGAGTATCTATTGAGTTTTGAACTCAATCCCTGTTCTAATTTGACTTTTTCTCTGGTTACTTCCATACCATGCAAACATCTGATTTAGATTATCAAATTATTTGTTGCTGACAGGTGAATACAAGTTCATGCAAAAGAAACCACTGACATGTTAATACTTTGATATTCAGTGAAAATAAATGAACCAGTGCTGACAACCCTCTGACTGGGACCTCCATCTTTTCACACACACCAGCCTAAGAGAAGGRGGGCCATGCAGAGGCATGAGCAGCACTGCAGGAGAGAGTTCTGTTTCTGCCTCATCTTACTTTTTTCAAACCTTGCATCGCTGTTGCATGGAGGAGCAGAGCCAAAGATGGCTTCAGGCACTGTTGGATTGTCCAGAATATCCTGGCCTGTGTTAATTTCTTCCCTTCGTAAAGCTCTCCTAGGGCCACACTTTACGTCATTGCTGGCTTGGGAGTGTGCTAAATAAACATGAACCTACGGCGGGTCAATTGGTTCTTAAAATATTACCTTTAAGTTAATTTTATTATTTAGTGATATTAATAACATTAATATGTTGATATTTTTCTAATTTTGATCTAAGTTTGCTTCTGTTTAGCGTCGTCACAGTTGCTAGGCGACGTGATGAATGCCAGGGTAAGGACGGGAGGCTAGACTGTCCAAATCCACATCCTCTTTTTTTCCGGTCTTCCCGGTCTACCAAGGACCTGGCCCACCTCGACCAGGTAGACTGGGTCCTCCGGAGGACCCGGCCTGTCGTTTTGGACACAGCCTAAGTTTTTCTAGGATTTTGACCATAATGCATCTTGGTACTTCTGGTTTGGAGCTGTTTTGGACTGAAGATCCATGAGGGATAAAATGGGCACAAGTTGTTTGTGATAATATACCACCTTTGTGTTGTGTGGCCCACTACTGGTGGAGCTCAGCTAAGCTGTAATGTTCAGTGTCCTATGTAAAACCTTTGGAAACTGTGTGGAATGACTGTACAATATACAATTTCACATTTCTACTTGTTTAACAAATCGGGGTTAATTTTTGTGCATTTTGTGTTTCTCTTTTTTGTGTACAGGCTAAGCCCACTGTTGTATTTGTTAATATATATATATATA